GACATGTGTCAAGTCACCTGTGACATGTGTCAAGTCACCTGTGACATGTGTCAAGTCACCTGTGACATGTGTCAAGTCACCTCTGACATGTGTCAAGTCACCTGCGACATGTGTCAAGTCACCTGTGACATGTGTCAAGTCACATGTAACATGTGTCAAGTCACCTGTGACATGTGTCAAGTTACCTGTGACATGTGTCAAGTCGTTGAGTCAGGGAACCCAGCACTTGATATTACACACGATTCGAAGGGCCCTGTTGGTTGATTCAACTTCCCATGAATGGCCTTTGAGCCTTTGGAGTCTCATATGGAAACATGTCCTCCGGTTTCGTATGAATTCGTCTTCGATCGGGGCCGGACTTTGGCCGAAAACCCGGGGACGCGGCAGGTTTTCGTTTGGTTCACCAGGCTCATCTTAGACTTCACAAGCCCACTTGGCTCACATTCAAGCTGAGCTGGTGGTCCACATTTTCCCCCCAGGATTCTGAGCTGTTGGAGCAGGTGGATGATGGACACATACCAATAAGTTGTTTGTTGGGAGTGACTCAGGCCGCAGCTTGGACACTTTCAAGGTCTTGGGTGCTCAGCAGGCTGAATCATGCTGAAGACACTATGGAAGGACACTTTTGCAACTGAGACATGCGCGAGGAATCCAAGCACGCAAAACAACTGTTGAAAGTTCATGACATGAACATCCATGTCATGTCTACGTGCCTCATCCACCAACGATGTGATAATTCTACGAAATATATTGCTTGAAAAATTAGGTCGACGGAACTGAAGAATACCCGCGTCATCCTGAACCGATGTCCCTTCAATGACATACAAAAGAACCATAAAGAACATTAAAGAATCTACCAGCACCCACAAGGGGTGGCTAATGGACACCCCTTACATCATCTCTTTTCGGGGCTATCCATAAAGACACACCTTAAGCGTTGTCTTGGTATAGATCCGACCTTCGCCTCAAACGAATCCACGCTTCGCTCCACACCGAAGACCGCGGTCCCGCCGCCGAACGCGGGTTCCGGGGACGACGACCGCGGCCTCCGGAGGATCTGGCTCAGCTCCCTGGGGCCATCCGAGACGCTGGGCCCGCCGGACCTGTGTGCACCTCGCGGGTCGAGACGGCGCTGGGACGGAGGTTACATCGAAGCTGCAAAAACCCAGCGGCTTCCGAACCATACAGGAACGACCGGTATGGTTCTCAGGAACATAGAGGAACTTATGGTCTTACAGTTACAGTGTCATTTTGTTCAGTTCATGTCAGTTCTACCTTTGGACACTTACTGGTTGGCCGGAAAATGGCAAACTCGAGAAGCAAATGGCGGAAAAGGACTGGTCGGACTGCAGCTATGCACTGAGAATAGCATTGTTGGCTCAAATCAACCTCACACTTCTTCTCCTTCTCATTTGATGCTGGGGTGAGTGGAGTGCCAAAATTACCACATGTATATACTTATATATTATACGATTATATACAAAATCTGACCTCTTGTGGCTAGCATTGGCTAGCTGACTCTCATTGTCTCGGTCAGTCCTCCAAAAAAAAGCCTTTTCCTCGACCAACTCACCGCACCGAGTAAGGGGATGCCTCAAGGGAGCATGTTTACTGGATGAAGGTGGTATTCCCCTACAAGTCCAGTCTGACCCAGTAAAAACCTGGTCTTTTACCTTCTTATGAACTGGTTTTGTGTGATCATCTCCAGTCAAATGGGGTCTTTCACTTGTAGGGTTCTGTTGTGTCTCTTTTCCATGGCACGCCAAAACATAGGGATGAAAGCAGCGGACCCTTCTGCGGACGCCGCAGAGTGGGTGGATGGTCCATGGCAGCTGCTGATCTTCGCCCTTCGCACGATGTTTTCAGTGCGATGTTTTCTCAGCTGCGCGCCGTCCATCGACGGATTCTATGCCGGTTCATCCCAAGTGGCCCGTGTAGGTGTGCTGGTCGTAGAAAAACCGCTCGGGACCATAACCTGCAGCCAGTGTCCCGGTGCCACCGGTGACTGTGATTCCAAGACCGTTCAACAAATATGAGTCACCGACTTAGTCTTGTAGTCAACTACGCTTCTTTGGCAAAGGCTTGTTAAATGAATGGAATCCTCCTAGTGTTGGACGACCTGATGACCACCCACCCGGCTTACCCGACTTGGAGCGGACTGGGGAGGCGGCTGAAGGCTTCTTTCAACGCCGGCAGGGGACGGTGCGGGGGGACGGTCTGGAGTCCAGGTGAGTGGGATTGTGACAGGGGTTCCTGCGCGGTTGGCGGGTTCGGCACGACCAGCCCACCAGGTTTGGCACTGATCGCCACGGCGTCCCACTGACAGGGAGCACGGAACCATCAAAGAGCAAGCAACTGAAAAAGGGAATCTGAGGCTGGGACATTTATACATAGGTCCGAGGCTGGGTAGATACATGATGAACATTGATGAACCTCGACGAGGTGCAAGTAAAACCAAACATACAACAGGCCCAAGGGGTCCAAGGCACAACTTTGCCCCATGGTAAAGTATAGTTATGGTATGCATGTTACGGTAATTATATGATTCCTGCCGCCTCACCTCACAAACCATGGCCGGTTCATTTCTTTTGGCCAAAACCACCTGGCACAAACCATGCAGGTTAGCCTACCTAAGACCTTCCAGGTGGGGTTTGGATCAAGCGAGAGGCTTAGCCGGTGTCCAGCCTGGTGGGGAGGCCGAACGGAGGGACGTCCCAGCACCGCTGCTTCTCGCCCAGGCACGCGGGGATCGGTCGCCTCCTTCGCCCACCGTCTGCCGTCGTGCACCTGGGAGGTGGGATGCAGAGCCAGGAGGAGCGGCTGAGGTCATCTGCCGCAAACAGATCGAAAGTGCCTGCCAGCAGTCACAAAGGGGTGCTTAATGGAGGTTTAGGGTGCCCATTATCCACTCACTTAGGGACTAAACACCACCCCTTTGTGACTCCTGGTGGAGAACTGTAGTTCTGGCTCCCTGTAAAAGTTGGGGAACACCAATGACCTCCAGCTCCGCATCGCTCCGTCCGTCTGCAGCTAGAAGAAGACTTGTTGGATGTTTTTGGGGTGCGGAAGGTTGAACATCACCAGCAGGTCACAAAGGAGGGTGTCACTAGCTGAGTCACCCAGGAGTCACAAAGGGGTGGTGTTTAGTCCCTAAGTGAGTGGATAATGGATGATAATGGGCACCCTAAACCTCCATGGATAGCACCCCTTTGTGACTGCTGGACTATAGTCACTAGTCGCCGCAGAAAGCCACCTTTGCCGGCCACCTGTTGGCGGCCACAGCATGTCACAGTTTTGCGGGACTGAAGCTGTTGAAGCTGCTCCGGGCTCTGTCTCCTCCACATGACGGAGCATTCGGCCAACATCCTTTCGGCCGGTCCACCGGTTTTCTAGGCCAGGTGACCCTGAAGGGTGTAGGTAAACAAATGGACATTCACAATAGGCACAATCCCCAAGGGTATAGAAACCTTCAGAGTATATGTGAACGCTATGCAAAGACTTTCAGAGTATACAAATGGCAAAATCCCCAAGTTCGGCGGTGTAGATGGACCCCTATATAAAAAGACAGCTTGGGGTGCCAGTGCCATTTCTCACCTCTGATGGCCCACTGTACGTTTGGTGCCCCGAAACCACTGCTGTCATCTGGAGCTCCCAACTGCTCGTGGAGGACGCTCGGCTCCGAAAAGACACGAAGGACGTGGCACGACCTGGTGCGCAGCCACGCGCCGGCGGCTGCTCTTCCGGAGTGGGGCCGGGAGTTGTACCAGGGTGCCCTGTTTGGGGCTGGAGTGTCTGCTAAGAGTGCGACAAGTGGTTGAGGGGTGTCGAGGTAGTATAACTACCACCGGTCGAGGGCCCTGGTAGGGGGGCAACTTCCACAAATTGCGCATACGGGAACATCAAAGGTGTAAACTGTAGCAAGGTGACCAACAGCTATGTCCGGACCGGTGAAAGCTTCTGGTCAAAGGATTGCTTTGATGACTTGGAGCCGTCTTTTGGTAGATTGGACAAAGTATACCGTGAAAGCAATAAACTAAGAATCTCCCAGTAAGTGAGAGGTCGCAAGGCCGCCATCTCGCAGGGGGTTCCAGGGGTAAACGACACAATTAGAGTACAAAGGCAGGTCGGTAGGGTTGATCATGATATTACAATACATCTTATATGGTCTATTAGCTTCATCCCAGCACGTCGCTATAGACAAATATGTTTCCATGCCAAACCACGCAAATGGGGAGGTTTGGTCGACATTTCATGTCCATGACTTAATTGCTGTCAAGCACCTGTATGGAGATCATGTCTTGACCTGCATTTGCCACTACCGTGCTACAGCTACACACTCCTCCCAAGATCTAATAAAAACACACATGGGCCATTCAATCAAGTGGGGAGGTCTCCCAGGCAACGATCTTTTGAAAGAAGGAAAATCGATCAGTTATATATGCCTTAGGGATACAAGTACCTCCTGGCACCTACTGTACATAACAGTGCCACCAATCACCGTACCTGAGGTTTGGTACGACTGGATCCCTAGGGATGAGTCATGATTAGCCCATCCCAGTGATCCTCGTTCCGTGCAGCTTCTGCCCAACTGGGACGCCCCGACTGCGCGCGGAGGTGGGTGAGGTATACGAGGCCGGGGAAGTCCCGTGGTTCGCGTCGCGGACGATCTGCTGCACCGTGTCCTGTGCTCGGTGGGCGAACATGCGGACGGTGGAAGAGGGGATTTCCGGAAGTGATGGATAAAGGCAGCAAGGTGGTCAAAAGGCAGCGCAAGCCCCATCCTTTTAGATGCAAGCATGCTGATCAACTCAAGTGAAGCTTAAACATGTTCAAGTGCCACAAAGGCACAACAGCTCATGTCATTCCCCGAAACGGCTCCTTCTCCACCACGCTTGGTGGCCCATTACGATGCACACCCGTGTAACCTGCAGGCGCTTGGGATGGAAAAGCTCGAGGAGGAGTAAAGTCCACACAGCTTAGCAGACCTTCTCTCACGTTACAGGGCTAGGGCTATTTATATATTTATATTTGACCGACATGGCCAGAGTTGATTCAGGGGGTTTCAAAACGCACTCAAAGACCTCCACCAAGGGTCCAGCCCACATGTTGAGCAAAAGGCCCTGAGTCAATGTATCCCCACAACTCGAAACCATATCCTCAGGTTCGGTGCTTGGGCCGCACCCACCCCTGTCCCATCTTCGAAACGGAGGCAGGCCAGGAGCCCTAGGGTATACAACTCTTCCAGCAAACAATAAGCTACTAGTAACAAGTGCATCGCTACTAGTAACAAGTGCCTTACTAGTAGTAACAAGAAGCTAGCAGTAACAATGTTCAATCCATGGATGGACTGGGGGAGACCAAAGCTTTCGACTTCAGATCCACCCAGGCACTGCGCCGTTCGTAGAAGAAGCGCTCTGGACCATACCTCCCCCCGCGCACGGAAAAGAACGGTCGAAAGAAGCCCCCCAAACGGGAAGGGTGTGAAAGCAGGGGTGAGTTCTGCATAACTGCATAACCTTGAAATAGATTGAAGAAGTAAGCAAATTGTACCATTCCTGAAAGATCTACAATCTAATTACCGTAAACAGTCCAGCGGCTGGTGACAGGAAAGAATGTGAGCATAGACCTTGGGAGAACAATTCTTTCGGTAATATCAATAATGATGTTCCTATCTCCAATAGTTGAACAGTTGAACGGCACGGTGTTAGGCATGAATCGAGAGGAGTCCAGCAAGAAATCCAACATGCAGTCCACAAACAGCGACACAAATGGGCGTGCAGGAATGCAAAGGACGCCCTTGAATTCTGAACCAAGTTTGATACATCATCATCTTCATATCGCAGGAGTTGATGAGATGTTCACAACCCAAATATATCAGGACTCTTGAACTAGTGGACCACCGCTGAGTCTCGGGCCGTTGCGAAGGGACTTCTGCAATTGGCCGTGGGATGAAGTGCTCCGGGGAACTCTGGTTGACCACGGAAAATGAACAGAATAGACTACCAGACATGGCGAACCTACAAGGGTCTCTGGGGCTCTGGATTCTGACCCACCCACCCCAAGCAGGACGTACGGGCACCTATGTCTCTCCTTGGGAGAGATCTCGCCATCGGCCCCATAGCCTGCGTGGAGCTGTCAGAGCTCCCTCATTCCACGGCGTAAGCACCCAACTGTTCATGAATGAAACCTCATCGGCGAACTCACTTGACATGATAGCCCATGCAACATACCCACTAAGCTTCAGAACTACTCATATTGAAAAGCACCTTAGGGACCTTGGATTCCACCTTGGATTCCAATTCACAGCCGAAAAACAAACTTAAGCCTTTGGCAGGTCGGTATCGGTGCTGCGTCGTGAGTCGTTTGCCAAGGATTTATTCACTTCTCTTTAAGCACTATCGGCGGCCTCTTACATATTTAGCATTACAATCATTTTATGTCGGTTGCTCATATGGAACCGTTTCAACACATTTCAATACATGACTTGGCTACAATCTGTTGCAGGTGTTGCTTTTTTACTGTGATCTACCAAGGAAACAAGTACAGTACAGCCAAGAAAAAAAAACACAAACACACACACACACAATCCTCAATCCCAACGTTGCACGTTCACCTGGCAAAACAAAGTACGCAAAACACCCGGGAGGTGTGTGGACCATAGTACGTACTTTGCGCGTCGACATGTTCTCTCGCATGGCAAAGATCAAAGAAAACATGCAAATCAAAATCCGCAAACAAACAAATCACTGAAGCTGTTTTCTCAGTGCCTTTCGGGCGGCTCCGCCTTTCAATATTTCTTCTTTTTCTTCAAAAATGCCAGCTGCTAGCCGGGGGTTCACAAACTCTTGAACAGGTCAAGAATGACCCAGCGAGGTTTGACTGTTCATCATCCAGTTTTGAAAGGGTTTGAAGATGAAAGTCCAGAATCCATCGCTCCAGTCCCAAAATGTACCAATATTCATCCTCTGGACGTGGCTGGACCAATCACTTCACATTTGTTCAAAGTGGGTTCTTCCACATGACCTTGAAATTAAGCCTGTTTGAGGTCACAAACAGTTCTGACTCCCGAGCCGCTTCCCTTTTCAAAGTCAAGGTGAACCAAACGAACTCCACCGGCTGCTTGAGTATCTTGAGTGGGGTCCCAATCCCCCAAAGTGTGGTTTTGCAGGTGATCCATGTACTTCATATGTACTTCCTGCATAGCAGGTCAGGGACCCTGGAAACAGGCCGAAGCAGTGCTTCCAGGGACATTTTGGCGAATCAAACTTCAATGGCGCCTTGTCGACATGGCTGAACACATTGAGAAATGGATGCACATGGCTGACCGCACAGTTGAGTCAAAGATCTATGCCTTGTAAAGGTGTTCGGGCCATCTATTTCTGCATCATTTCGAGCGTACACTCCTGCCCAACTGACGCCTTGTCTCTTGGCG